CATGAAGATATGAATTCGTTATTTGATTGTTTCAAATAATTTCAGTTTGGAATATCATACAACTTGCAAGAATTATTTCTAAATTCATTAATCATAACAAATGAACTACTTCAAATGTTATACCTGAAGTCTGTCGACTCGTTTGACTCTAAGATCTACAAGATCGTTCCAAATTCCCAAATCTATAAATTCCCTTTGCAAAAGTACATGAAGATTCCGTAAAACATGACAAACAAACAGTCAACAAACAATATCATTTCTTAAGATTAGCAACAAATATAATTAATTGTATACATTGAATGATTTACTTTTAAATAACACCATGTAACATGTTTATTAAAAAGAATATCTATTTGGAGAAAATTACTTTTAAAAAGCAAAACAGCCGGTGGTGATACAGCAGAGACTCGATTCCCATAGGGTGAATTTTTTGTTGGAGGCTTAATTTCTGCAGAATCCAAAACAAGCACTCTTTTTAATCTTAAATTTTCGTTCAACCCTGTAAAAAAACTAAGATTCTGCTGCAATTGCCTCAGCACATTTCATGTTATTACTCTCATATTTCACTTCTTCAAAATATTTCCCTTTCTCAAAGAATAATAATTTACTTATAATCTGAGTAACTATTGTCACAATCCTAATTAAATGATAAGGAGAGCTCTACCAATTGCACAAGCCATCGCGTTGCCAACCATACCGCCACCAACAATAATAATATCATAAAAGGAAGCTAATGCTGTCGAAGTCGAGCTGTGACAGAAACGAGAAAATGAATGCATTGTGTACCAGACATGCACCGCACCTGAAATTACAATTTTATGGTTTCTGATGCGATAGCAAATTCATGCCAAAGCTGATTTTTCAAATGACAATCTGACTTTGGAGTTCAAAACCGCACAACTTCAGATTATTTTTTACCTGAAACTGAGATTTATCTCATGGAAAATAATGAAACAAACATAACGTATATAAGAGCTCCACTGCATAGAAAAGTATAAAAGTATGAGGTATTGAATATAATGCAAATAATTGTAAATGAAAAATGAAGAAAAGTTAAAAGGTCCTGAATATAAATATAATAAGTTCAGAAATGGGCAGAAACTAACCTGACAGGAAGAATGTTTAAATTAGTTGAATGAGAGCAACAAAAAAAAACTGCTGTACCTAAAAATACGCATGCTTTCGTGAAATGTAAACTAACATTGAAAAATGTAAAAACTTATGAAGCAACATAATATATACCACAAATACTTAATTCTCTAGCTCTAAAATATTTTTAGAAGGTCCAATTCAAGAACACAAAGAAAATCGCGAGACTGAATGCTTCAATAACACGAGTGAGAAAGAGCATTAACACTCCGACAAACTTAGGCATATAATTTCAAGTATGCAAATAAATACTTGATTACTTTATCAATTAACGTGTCCTGATACTCTTTGCGTAAGCGTAAAATTCTGATTATTTGATTCCTTCTTTACATGAAATAATCTTAGTACTTTGGACGGCTGTCATCAATTCAAATTAATACTAATCTAATCACTGACTGATAGAGGATAATATCTTGAATTATAATTATGAAAGACTAACCTCCAAGACTCTTACTACTGTCAGAAGTGAGGTAGACCGCAAAATATTTCGTTCAATTCGGCCATACAGTCAAGATTTAACGTGATATTTTAAGGTGGCAAAATGAAAAAATATACCTTAATTACAGAATAATGAGGACTAAATCCAGTAGATGTAGTTAGTGGTGTGAATTTTAAAGACTGGTATCATCAATATAACTCTTAGTTGCAGTCATTAATAAGTCACATCAACTGTTTACTGAAAAACAGCAAAAAACTATCAGAGCTTTGAACATGAAGTATGGTTTTTGATATGGTTTCTGAAATGATAACCAACTATCTACCTTGGTCCACATCATTACCTTGCAACAAAAAATTCTGGCCCTTATGCTTTTACTGGTTCTTTATTTTCAGTTTTTCGTACTGCAGTCAATAAAAGTTACACCTTTAATGCATTACTAATAATAAAATAAACTGCTTTTCAATATATGGTGATGATAATTGCCTTCATGAGGTATTACAATACATAAGGTGATGATAACAAATCACGAAGAACAGCAGTTCGCATTTACAGTAGTAAAAAGGTGTAATGAACAAAAAATAATTTGCTGTGAATACTGTTACTTTATCGTGATGATAAGCTCGCAAATTTTAGCTAAATATGCGAGTATAGATACAGTAATCCACAGTAATCATATTACGAATATGGCAGTAGATAATGTTTCTCACTAGTATGAGATGGTTTTCTCTAAATTGTGATTGGATATAGTATGCTAATGCTTATCATATTCTCGCCAGCTGATTATTATTACCTTGGGCTTATTCAGTGATGATGTGCCACATTTTAATGATTAGTTGGGTACTGTAGTCATCATATTAGCTGAATGTGTTACGATTATAGCTTTTATTTCCACAATTTGATCATCAAGAATTTCTCAAGATTTCCTTTCCTTGGTTTTGAAAAGGATATAAATAGTATATAAAAATAGATAAAATGATTGTTAGACTACCAATACAATACCATAATGATGGTACAAAATCGAACAGTAGCCAAGAACCAAATGCTGATCCAATTATTGATACGCTCTATAAATAACTTTATTGTATCTTTCATACAATGGCCATGTGTACCGTCCTCATGAATTACCTAATATGGATAAATAGATAACTGTGGAGACACCATAATTTGCATCGAGTAAAATATGTTTACATACCTATGCATTTAAAATTACTTCATCTTAAGCTTTTGAATTTATTAAGCAATTCTAGTGAACATGTTAGAAAAATAATACTTCAGTTCTAAAAACGGCGAAAATAGCAATTCTTTCAAATATACCAAAAATACAGTATTTTACTGGCAGTATTAGTTAAGTATTGTACCTGTACAAATATTTTTGTAGTGCTATCAGCATATTTGATTACAAATGAAATTAATAATCCACCAGCAGAACTAAGAAGAATCAGCAACCATACCGAATAATCAAATCCGCGTAGCATGTTACCTATAATTTCACTTTTTTAAAAACATACTAAGCACGTGTCGGAAAAAAAATTGTAAAAAAATACTACCAACAACAATAAGTACCAATTTTTAAAAAACCAGTTAAAAAAAGTAAATCTCACTTTAAATACAAATATTTTGCCTCGGCATTATTAACTAATTTGTAAAAATAATGCAAATGTACATAAGTAATATCTTTGTTATCGAATTGCTCAATACAAGCAGTATCAGTACTTCCTAGTACTCAAAAATATATAAATAGGCAATTACAATCATTTAAAATTGGATTTTAAGAATGATTAGTTATTGAATATATTCGAATATCAGTAACTTAGTTATTTCAGAACAATTCAGTACATTCGAATATTTTTGTTCCGTTTTTCTTCTATTAAAAAATTTCAAAAAAATTTGAAATGTTAATCTTTTTAAATGAAGCAGCAATTAATGCATGATGAAAATGGAAATAATTGGAAGTAAATTTTTAAAAATTGAACATTTCAACAATAAAAATAGATATTGTTTTCAAGTACTAATGATAATGATAATAATAAGGATTATTAGTATTACTGTAAACTTTTGAAAGTATTAAATTAGATAACCTTCAACGATGTCTGAATAATTATAAAGGCAAATTGATGGACAAATAATTATTAATGTACAAATATTAAGACGAATATTTTGTATCCAAATGCTAACAGAACTTTGCTTAAAAATTTTTTCCATATAAACACCTAAAAATTTATGAATATTTTAACGTTAAAAAGCTGTTCAAAATTCAGAAAAACCTCGCGCATATCATTTTGAAATAATTTCTGTAAGCAATATAATATTATACGTATTTATTTTAAAATTATCAATTCCAAAATATTTGCTAAAAAATTTTTCAAAAATTTTTAGCACAAAAAATTAATTTTATTAGCAATACCAAAGATAAAGCTAGCAACTAAAAATGCAAATGAAAGCTTTTTTTATTAAAATATACCAGCAAAAGCAGATGTAAAACAGATTATTAAAACAATATTGAATCCGAGCAATGAATTTTGATCAGAAGATGAATTTTCATGGATTGTAGTGATCTGTATTTCTACAATAGCCACACCAAAAGCTAACAGCATCAGTGCAAATAACTGTTGCCAGCTAAAACGACGATCGAGCATTATCCAAAGCATCAAAGCAGTAAGAAGTATTCTTACTTGATAGATTAACTGCAATTTTCAATATTCTTTCCTCCTTCAAATTACTTCTATACATTTGCATCTTTTTTATTGAATTGAAATTACTTTTGGATTTAATTGGTCACTTTAGACATTATTACATACCATTCATTTATTAGTATTTAATGGTTAAAAGTTGTGGTCAATAAATTTAAGTTGTGGACACTAAATATAACTTGTGGTCACTAATATCAAAATTATTGTTTCTCTTTGCATTAAAGTTTATTTCTTTTTGTAAGTAAATTGAAGAAGAGAAAAGCGTACGTAGTAAGTCATTGGCTCCAAATATCTCAGTGCTATAAAATATAAATTATTTTGAACAGCATAAATAGCAGCTGGTAGAAATAATTTTATAGTTTCCTCATAATTCTTGACAACATTATTATAGCAATCAAAAAAAGATCTGAAAAGATTAGCTTAATAATGAATATCTTAGCACTACTGCTATGACTATTATTAAGCTTAGAAATAAATTATTAAGCGTTATCATCTTATTTTATTTAAGTCAGAATTATGTACAATAATTAAAGCTTTAATTTCTATAATCTATAATTTCTGCTTTTTTCAGTTAAAATTAAAATCTGAAAGTAATTACTTTTTTAATGACTTTTTTTGAATAATAAGTATGGGCAAAGTCAGTGATAACTTTGCCAATTCGCCAAGAAATACTACCACTACAGTAAGATACCGTTCTTCGCTTCCTCGATTTTGAGTATAACGAGTTAATAATGGTATACTGAAATGAGCAATAATGGAAAAAATGTTATTCACAAATTTAAATATTTATGCTCTATTATATATAATTAATATTGTTTGGTTCTGCCGAGTTACCGAGCGATTGAGCTGCCAGCTGGTCGACCGCATCACGAGGCAGGAAATGGAGGATAAACGGAAAAAAGCTGAGCCTGGAATCATAAATGAACAAATGGAAAATAGGTGAGGTTATTGAAGAAAGCTCTGTGAAGAAGCTCATGGGAAAGCACTTGATCAGTGCACTGGCACCAGTAGAATTACGTGCCCGCAGAGTATGGCGAGAGTGCCGGAATACAATCCAACGGGAGAATCAAGACAGAAAAGAAGATTAACCTCCGACCTGCTACACATGGTTATATACAACTAGAATCTAATTACGTATTTTCGCTCGACTACACTACTGTACGTGCCCATTGTTAATATCCTAATTTTTCACTGAAAACTTCATTACAACTGTTGTTATCAACAAAGGATTAATTATAAAATTAAGTAGACTACAATTCATCAAGAAAAAAACTGCCTCAAATTCCAAAATCAGAATTTGCTATACTCATATAACAGATGAAATAAATGTATTATCAGTATCAAATTACATATTATCAGCAGATTAAGAAAGCCAACTTAATTATTTGGAATTAAAGTCAAATATGTGAGAAAAACTGAGTGAATATTATTTTTGACGCATTCAACTTCACCAGTTACTGATAAACTGAATGAATACATCTTGTTTATTATCATAAAAATAACTCACCATATTTGCAGAATAAGTAATAAGCATAAACTTAATGCTTTATATAAGAAATCGGTATGCATTTCAGATATTACCATTGTGGAAGTGAAAAAATTGTACAGTGTTAAATGCTATTTGATCTAACCATGCAGAAGCGATTTAGGTCATTGAGGTCAATGATTTTCTAATGATTTTCAAGATTGGGCGGCTGATAAGTGTCATAAAAATTATTCAGGAATCATATCCATGAGACTCAAGAATGATTTACGAAGAATAGTTTGAAATCAAAGATTACTAATTACATACAAGCTTGTTACTGCTTTGCTAATGTAAAAATCACAATTCACACGAATCATTAAACGTTCTATGCTGGAAAAATACCATATTTTATTTCAAGAAATGTAAAGAATATGATTAAATTACTGGATGCTAGTTGTGGGAAGTAAAGTTTGAAACGATTTTATCAGAGTTATCTTGAACTTGTAAAACTGCAACAGACTGAAACATGAATACTTTTATTTAAAAAATAGATATGAAGAAATGCGAATAAAATACAATGCAAAAGTTCGCACAAGAAGCAGAATCATATCAAGAAGCAGAATCATGTCAAAGACATTTTAAACTTAACAAGTAAAATGAATTTTTTGCCATATTAACAAATAACCCAAAAATTATAATTAAAAATAAAGTAAACGAGTAAATTAAATGAACTAACAAAATATATAGGAAAGAAAACAAAAGTTGCATATGAGACTAAATCAAGAAATTTTTGTATACGTGACCTGCAACCTTCGTTTGTTACATGGTTTTATGAATAAAAATACAAAAAAGTATATAAATTATACAACTATTTATAAAACATTTAATAAAAAATTGCAAACTACAATGAAATGATTTTCACCTGTAGGACATCGCAATCAAATAAATAGGACATGTTAAATTTAAGGATATATAATAAAAATATTTCAATACAAGCAAAACTTCAAATCATGGCAAATCATAAGCAAAAATATTCTGATTTTAATCTGAAACAGTAAATATACATAAAGTGTAAAGATAAATAAAAATAGTGTGATAATCTAGTACTCTAATTATATCTTCAGGTTTCGTTGACGCAGTATAAAAAAGCATCCGAATTATTGACTAACTTGTATCCGAGAACTCAGCAATTTAATCAAGTATAAATGAAGGCGTAATCGAATTATGAAACCATACTTTGTATGATGAAAAAATTTGAATCCCATTCATTTCATCAGCTTAGATGTAGTTCCATATTTAAATCTGAATTCATAAGAACTGAAGTAATCTCGTTACTTCAGCATATTTTGGATACTCTTCGTGTTTGACTCAAGGTAGTCAATTCCAATACTTCACATTACAAATCATGTCTTCAGAATCTTCTACTTATTTCTTCACCAAAATCCTACCCCCATCTACGAAATCATTTAATCTTGCTTTTAATCATACCATTCAAGGCTTCAGAATACATTTAAAGTTATTACAGCATCTTCGAATTGAACCATTCCAACTGGATTTATTATCTAATCGTTAATTAGCAGATCTATTTCATCATCTATTCAACATCGAATAAAAAATGATTGATTAGGACATCTCTCCCTCTATCAACTATCCACTTTACCGGATTACTTTTCACTTGAGAATCTCAGATCCATTGATTGAAATTACTTTTCACTTGAGAATCTCAGATTCATTGATTGAACGGAATTCGATGTAACTGCAGTAACTGCAAACATTGGAGGATCGATCGAGTGTTTGATAAAGTGGAGGAATATGATGAAATCTTTGATAATGACGAAATCGACAGGACGAAATCTCTGATTATGACGAAACCGACAGAAATCTCCGATAATTTCATCGCTGTCTACTTTCAACATTGCCCAAGTCTATATCCACAAACGACACACACTTGAATTAACTTCAGAATTGTCACAAACTAGGGAGACAACAGCACAAGGTATGAAACAAATAAAATTATGCCACAATATTGCAAACATTCATCTCAAAACAGATGCATATTTAGGCCAAGCATCTACGTCGTTAATTGATGGACTACATTATGAACCATTCAATATTTGGTTGCAGAAGGCCATAAAAATTCATAATTACGAGATAAACCATCAAAATTCACTACTTACCTTTTAGCTACGCCAAGATGTCATAGTAATGCACTGCTAGTCTGCAAAAACATAATCTACTTGATAGTTCTGGTTAATCATAGTCTCAGTTTTATTCAAATTAATCAACGTACAATAATTAATTGCGTATTTGCATTCGATATCCCATTTTTACATAAAAATCCAATCATAAAATACTTTTCAACAATATTAAACCCTTTTTTTCACTTTAACATGCAAAATTTGGCAATATTTAACGGAATTTCATCTAAACGCAGCAGTCACAAGTTTAGATTTACTTTATCTACATAGACAATGTATTCTCAATTTCGAGGTGATTTACATTTCCATCTTCTCTTCGAAACTTCTGTGACCCTTAAATACAAATTTGATACATATAAGCGCGAAAAGCGATTTAATAAAGATGAAAATAAGTTTAATCACATCTATGGTTCTTTTAGATAAAAGTACTTTTTAGTGTCTGTACTCCAAACTTCTCTTCTCCTTTTTATCTGAATCTTTTCCTTTTTATCTGAACTAAATGATAAAGAAATATGTAAACTAATTTGTCACTATCAATAGATGTACTCTGAGATTTTAGGAATATTACGGAATTCGATATTTGTTTGTTATGGTAATATTAGATATTTCTTACCAAAACAACAATGAAAGAAATGCTTATAAAAACACTATAAGTTCTAAAACTTACATTCTTTGCAGTATTAGCATTCATTTGTTCTATTTTCATACTAAGGTTCTTCAAAGTGCGACTGATAGCATTTCGTACTCGCGCAGTTGACTCCACATAGCCTTGGGCATACTGAGAATAATTGACATTTGCCATCTCTCCAACTATTTTCAGTTCACCAGCGAACATTTTATCAAATTTGACGCTTTCCTTCTGGGCTTCTTGGATGACCATCTGTTAAAAAAAGTAATTAAGATCTAGCATTTTTAAATGATCCAAAATCGTGAGCAGCAAAATGTCAACACTCCTTCGCAAATTTTGATCAATCACAGACACCTGTTATAGAAGGAACTACACTTTTAACAGCTACAGAAAACAGAGAATGCTTAATTCGTAATTTTTCACTAGCAGTAAACATAAAATGCAACTTTACAAATGACTTACTATATTATGCTCAATTTGATCACAAGTACCCAGAAAATAGTCAAACGAGTTGATGTATGCTTCATTGGGGCTTAAATTTTTTTTTTCCATTTCTACAGATTTTGGTTCATCTAATGACTTTACAGAGCTAGGATTGGCCGAGAGAGGATTCACAGATTGTGGATTTACAGACTGAGGATTCACTGACTGCGGATTGACAGATTGAGGATTAACAGACATTGGATTATGAGAAGCTGCAGCAGGATTATCAATTTGCTGACGTAAAGTAGAAGGCCGCAGCACTTCCGCAGCTGTTCTGCTCCAATCCTTTCAATATACGATTTATCAGAAGCTTATAACAAAATGATAAACTGTTTGTAACCAAAAAGAAGATTAAACATCGGATAAAAAGAAAAATAAGGAAATTCAAATCCCAAAGAGAAATTATCTTTCAATTATGCACGGTTTAAAAAAATTTCTGTTCAACTAAATCAGTAGATAACTTGATGAAGCGAGGCATATTATACCTGAAGTGAATGTCGAAGATCTCGTAATAAAAGATTTCTAGCTAGTGAAACTGGATCAGGTGGTACTACTGCAGGTGTTGATAAGTTATCTTGCGTTGTAGTAGACTGTACTGAAGATGGAGCTTGTTGCGGTGTCGCTGGCGTTGAAATTTGTTGTGAAGAAGGATTTAAAGATGAAATAGCATTTATGGGTGTTTGCGGATTGTTTGATGGTGGTCCAGCTGAAGGCGGTCCACCTGGTGTTCCTTGCTGTAAGCTAATAATCATGATACTTATTAATATTAGCATCGGGATCAAGTTATGTGAAACATTTTAGGAATTGACTATATGATCAAAAAAAAAATTATTCTAGCAAACAGACCGACATTCCTTGAGGTCCAACAGCAGGACTTCGTACTTGCCCATTCACAAAATTTGGATGAGACATTCCTTGTTGCTGCTGGAAATAAAAATTAAAAAACAGTAGAGTATAGAAAAATATTCGTAGATGAACGTCTAGGGTGTTTCATCTGTTTCTTCACATTCAACAGCTTCTTAAAGAGACTTTTTAAAAGTCAATCAATATTGTACAGTTTCGGTCAAAAACCTTTGAATTATTGATAGTCACCAAGCTGATTAAAAAGGATATTTTTTTAAAATAATTTAAACCTAAAACGGTATCTTACATTGCAAAGTTTTAAACAAAAAGAAGGACGGAAAATTTGAACGAATCAAAAAATCAATTTTTTCTTGGGTTATTAGCGTAAAGTTTTAATAAAAAGTTAGGTTTTAACAGCTTCCAAATTTTACTTGAAGATATGCTTGTTGAGATGCCATCTGAACTTGCTGCATTGGTTGCATTTGCTGATGCTGCGCATTCATATGATTAGCTTGGCTAAGTCCTTGAACAACGCCCATTTGGGTATTCATCATTTGTTGATTTATATGTCCCTGTGATGCTAACATTTGTGGAGGTGGTTGACCAGAATTAATCATACTTTGCGGATAACCAGCCTGCAATATCTGTCATATTTTAAGCCCAAAAATATGATAAAAACTTAATATTAATCAAGCAAGACCTAATAAACACATGCTATTAATAAATTTGCAGCTTCGTTTCATTTGCTTACTATGTTTTTGTCAGCTCCTTAGTTAACTTAATCAATAAACATTAATCTCCTGACTTAATAATTCGAGTTTTATCCTTAGATAATTTTGATTACTACGTCAACAGATGACAAAATATTTGGTCTCTATTTTCAATATTAAAACAAAAGATTTACTAAATCATACTTTTACATTTATCATATGTAGCAAATTCATATTATCGTTTTGACATAATTTCCAAATAGTTTACGAAGTATACTAAATTCAAACTATTTCAGTCCACAATTTTATAAAGGACAATCAATTAATTAGAAAAAAAACAACCACCACATACAGTATTCATCATATGCGGTTGTTGTGAGTTCATAACCATTCCAGGATGTGACATCATAGCGTTGATTTGTCCACTGCTCACTGATCTCGACATTGATTGATGACCATACATTATTACTATCTAAATTACATTGAAATAAAATTATCAACAAATACAAATACGTGAGTAAAAAATGCAAATCCCATAGTCGAAAATTAGAAAGAATTTATAAGTTTTTTAATTGCTGTACTTCTCGACGTGAAATCAAGTTTTTATCATTATAAATAACTCATACATCACAGTGCTAAGAAACTTGCCTAGAATTTTATCATGATAAATTTTTAGAGTAATTATTATATTTCTACAACAAAGATTGGTACTAATTATATGCAATAAATACGCCAATAAATAATCAATCTAAACGATAAAGCATTCATTGGTTACGCAACTGACACGTAAATCTCAGTCAGAGCAAAATTGACGTGCAACACAATGAAAGATTTGCAAATAACTTCGCGATATTTGGAAGCAATTTCACTTTTTTAAATATTTAAGACTAAGATTCACAAGTAGATAATTTTAATAACTGAATTGTATCAAACAATAATTGACGACTTCTTGACATGACATATATAAATAGTACAGATTATAGTTTCCTACATAAGTAACTCGGATATTTAAGCCGCTTTATTTTGCTGTGATTTAAACATATAATTTGTGTGAGTAAATACAAGACGGAACATTAGAATCCAACTGTCAATGATGATGATATTTCAGAAATTCAAAATCATAAAAATAAAAATTTGTTACTTGAAAAATGTTCTCGCCCGAGTCACTAAATATCTTGAGTGCTAAGTCAAAAGTCAAATATTTGGTTGATAAGTAAGTTTTTTTGAGAGGTCAAGTGTCAAAGTGATTAATGGCTACGAGATACACTGAAGTCACTTGTATGATAACTAATATTCAGTGACTTGAAAATCAGCCTGAAAAGATTGAGAAAAGAATATTTTAACACAATTAATGATAAAGTTCAGTTATTAAAAAATTTTACTAAAATATCCTCACATAACTTTAAATTATTAGTAAATATCAATTATTAATTATTAGTTTTCTATTTTCAGTAAACATTATATCAGTTCTGTCCAAAATATTTTAAAAAATTTTTGAAAAGTTGCCAAATATCATTTATTTCAATTTTGTGAATAATTTGCTGTATCTGTTTACTAATTAAATTTTTGACATTCAGTCTCGCGCATACTTTCTGTTTAATTAAGAATCAAAAATGGAATGTTCTGAACAATTGTAATATTTGCTTGTATGGGAATTGAAAATTGCTAATTACTGTTTTAAATAATTAAAATTTACTAATTAATCATAATCTGATACTACTGTATCAGTAGTACATCTGGTTACTGTAATTTTGTTGTCATTCTACATTTGACCTATAAATATTTTCTAAAATTGCCATGCAGTTTTAGGGTATGACGTCATCTTTACTATCTAATCTCCCATTTTTATCATTTTACCATGTGTAATATTAAATACATTATTGATCAAGAAAACTTTCAGATTTAACGAAAAATGGTATTGTTGAGAATATGGGTCAAAACGTATCTTTTTTGCTTCCTTCCGCTGTTATTAGACAGAGGTGTATGCTTTACTCACTGGACTGTCACTGATGATGGACTTTCCATACAGCCTGTGGTAAGTATTGTTATGATTATTGTAGGACTGTTACCAGAAAATGCTTTTGTTTATGATCTTATTGTTATTTTTGTTAATTGACTAAGATAATCAGGCCATAATTTCATTATATTATTTATATTTTAAGATTACTACTAGTTTTTTGTTGATAATTTTTACTAAAAAAAACCTAATATATGATGAAAGTAATCTCAAGTTTCGTTAAATTTATGGGTATATTTTTAGTCTGATTCTCCTTACTATATGGTACAATCACATTCATTAGTACAGTTTTTGGATCAAGAAAAGAAGCTAGATGCAATTGCTCGGATGCGAGGATTAGTCAGTGAACATGAGGTGGATGAATTCAAATAATTATTAGTAATACCAAAAATTGATTAATTTTTATATGAGCTGGCTATTTAATTATTAGTTAAATTTAGATTTGAATTTTCGAAAAAAAAGGATTAGTAGTAATTTTTTTTAACTTTTCTGTGATTTCAAAATGTCGTTACAACAAAATATTTATGTAAAGAAAGGCTTTACAGAAAAATATTCATGTACATGAGAATGCTGATGACCCAGAGTTGGAAACAAAAATTCGTACAACTGACAAAGATTGTATTATGGGTGAATTTGTATCAAGCAATAAAGATGTCTTCTTTACGGCGTATACGTTGGGGAAATTGGTTGAGGAGTAAGTTTCTAGATTTTTGTCATTTAATGTCATTAAATCTACAACTAATTTGTTGATAAATTAGAATTTAGCTAAAAGAATTTTAAATTTCTCAAGTTTTCTATTTTTATCATGCAGAAATGTATTACTTATTGTAATTAGAGAAATCAAAATTATTATATGAACCATTCATGAATTTGTATTGTTAATTATGGGTTTTAGCTTTTTTTTTAATAGATTATGGTTTTTTTTACAATAGTAAATTGTTGAACTTTCATAACAGTTTATGAAATTTGAAGCAAAACAACATCAAAATTACTTTCAGATTGCTTATCTGAAGTGATGTTGTTTGAATTTTTTTAATATACCAATTTGAGTAAAGTTTTATTTTCAGTGTTTTGAAATTCAACAAAATAAAATTTTCAGCTTGGAAGTTCTAGCTAATATCGAATTCAATAAAGATAATATAAATTCTGAAAATGAGCCACACTGTAAGTACGACTTACCGTTCAGCGTACACGCTTTCGAACATTTTCTGGTAATATAATAAATGTTACTGTTATAATGACGTTTTTCTTGAAAATCTGATTTTGATTAAGCTGAAAATGAGCTGTAGGCATTGTATGCTTCATGTTGATTTCCAGTCTGTTGGACAACGTCATACGTTGAAGATTAACCCTGAATCATCATTTCAAAAATCATTACCATCAAACTATGAGACAACTGAATTTGGCAGCCACATAGCTAAGGCTCTAGAAAAAGTAAGGTGTTACTACTTGATTTATCTTTATGCATTTTTTTTTTTAAAGAAATGTATAAATCAACTGGTATCAACAAGTTGTTTAACATTATATAATTATCACTGTCTTATTAAATAATTTGCAGGAGCCAACAAATTCTTCATTTTTACGTCTGGCTGCTCTTTACTGGCGGATTAAAGGCGACGCACCTAAAGCTGTCGAATGTTTTCGACGTGCTCTTCATTTCACAACAAAGTAAATTACCAAATCAGTTGTCTTCATTTTTAAATAACAAAAAAAGAAGTTTTATTCGGGGAAAAATGGATCTTACTGATTTTTTTAATAATTAACCTTTAGCACTAGGTATGCGTTGGTTTTATTCAAAACAATTTTGTTTTCTGAATAGTCTGAATAACTTGCTATTTATGAAGAACAAGTTTGGGTAAAAAATTAGTTCTTCGCTAATAATGAGGCTAAACTGTTATATTTTTCAGTAAAACTTCTACATTTTACAGGAAGATGCGTTTTCGAACTTGGTTTGATTTTGGGAATTTATTACATCGTGCTGGTTACCCTTTAGATGCGATTGTTTTATATGAGGTCTCTTTTCATGTTTGTTTTTGTTAAATATTTATTGTATTTTATGGTTTTTCTTTTAGCTTGCATCACTGGGAATGAATGATGCGACAGTTCATATGGCTCTTGCTGATGCTTATGCCTTAATTCAGAATCGTACGAAAGCAATCGATCATTATAACATAGCTTTTTCAATGGACCCATCAATGAAAACTGCTCAAATCAAAGTATGTTTTTATATTTTTGGTTGGATTAAAATATTCACATTAATTAGATGTAGTTATAGTGCTTATTTAAATTAACTGGATGAAGTTATAATCGTTTATTACTAGCCGTATGAAATTTAATTGTTCATATTACACTGTTTTTACCAAATCATTTTCTTGCATATTTAATATTTTGAGTTCTGTTACCTTAAATTAGGTTCCATGCATAAAAATAATATTTCACTTGAAAAATATAACAATGACGTTCAAAGTGGAGCTAGAAAAAGGAATTGTTAATTTGATTCTTCGAATAGTCTATACACAGATCTGTTGAAAGATAGTAATCCGATTTGCTAAAGTTAGTGATTTACCAGATTGTATTTTAGGCAGCTGCTTTGAAATGTGACCAAAAGTTAATAACTGCAATGGAGAAACAACATAAGAATTTGCTTAATACAATTGAGGAGAAGAACCTGTATAATGATAGGTAGGAAAAAAGTTCGTATGCAGTTGTATCAGTTTTTATTTATTTTTTCCATGTCTATTTTTTTAGTTTGTGTACATCTCGATATGTCTACGAAAAAAAAAAACTTTGTTAATGAAATTCAGGTACGAAACAATAAAAGATATGGAAGAAAGTGTGGAGAAAAACGTTGCAGATCTCGAAGATAGAATGCAATCATCTTTAATTTATGATTATTTCACATACGGTAGCCTACCTTGTGAGTTTTTTTGGTTTTTGTAGTAAAACTTGTCAAGTATGAAGACATTAAAATGTTCCTGGAGAAGGATGTGGATTATTATAAATTTTCGTATTCTTAACTTGTGGAAACAACATGTATTTAAATTACAGATTCGAGTTGCCGTTCAGTTTCATTATCAGGTTATTTATCTCTACAATGTAGTGTTAGTGATTGGCGTCGTTATCAAACTGCTCGTGAAGATAGATATCGTAAACTTCTTGCAAACATTAAGCGAAGTGGAGCAAAAAATGTACATTTAATTTTTACTAAGGCTGTAGTTGGTTTGTCCATGGAAAATTTCTATCAGTGAATGCTTATTCTTTCAATTACTAATTGTCGATGGTCAGAATTTCGTGTTGTTAATGAAAAATCTCGGAATTGAAATTGTTTTTTATTAAAAAGAATTCGAATTCTTTCTGAACTCAGTAATAAAAAATGCAGTAAAATAAGTTCATTGTACGTCGAAAAAATTCATGGGTTGAGGTGAAAAATGTTTAAGATTTTATTTGCGCAGAAACATATGTACAAGTGTAAGCATTGTTTTGCAGATATCGAAACCAGCAGTAAGTGTAATGGAAGATTTCACTGATTCTGCTGAATTAGTGGCGTTTTTAAAAAACTTAGAGACCATAAGGGGAATGGATAGAGATGAGCCAACTGATAAGCCTATTTATCCACAAAAACTGTAAGCAAAGATTTTCAATTTTTTCAGCTGTTTTATTCTAAAAAATTAAGGTAAACGTTTAGATGTTTTTAAGGACACCATCAACAAAAGAACTTCTTGAATATTACGTGGATGATAATTGGCCAGACAGTACATCATGTGAAACAGACCGTTGGCGTTATCCTCTTCCAACTGTGGACAATCTTCCTCAACTTTTCTTAAGCCCAAAAAATAAAGGATTCAGGTAATTTTTCTTTGTTCTGTATGATTTTAATATTTAGTTTTTCGTTGTTTAATTTCTTCTTATATCAGGCCATCTGAATTGCTTAGCAAATATCTTGGCTTAAATGTTAGTCAAGAGCATCCTTTACCGTGGCATCCACCTAACTGTGGTATTTATTTACCTAAGAAACCACTTTCGACAATATTTCAGGTTACATTCATGATATCTCTTTATTTATTTGGTATAGAAATAATCCCACTAATTAATATTGTGAAATCAGTTATATAGTGAAGAATCTATATTTAGTGTCAAAAACAATCTCTTTTATATTGAGGCTTATTTGTGACATATTAAAAGACTAATTTTGTGTTTGAATTTTTTTCGTGCTTCAAATATGATTAGATTTATGATATAATGATCTCAATTCTATTGATGTTCTATTAATAATAAATTATACACATAGAAAACAAAATTATCAAATCATTAGAGATTAGTTATCCTATATTAAAAGTTCTTTCAGCTTTCTGCCGTTCGTACAGCAGCAGTTCAGGGTCATTCTTTGAATTATGCAGAAAACAACCTTGGAACAGAGTTTTTAGGTCTTATTGAGGATAAAATTACAGAAGCTGATATTGCTCAGCGTATTGGTACTTTGATGAAATATGTTAGTCTGGGATTCAAGAAATTTTTTTGCTTTCCGCAGTTAAAATTATAATAATGTAAATTATTAAATCAGAAATAACTAGTTGAGTTTAGTCTACTTAATAAATCTTGTTGTAGAGTATTGGACCGCAGTGGTTAGTCTTTAACATGGCAGCACTGTACTGGCGTATTGTGGGTGCACCTGGAGAAGCTATAACATGTCTTCATGCAGCATTAGAAGCTCAGGTAACATAACTTATGCACATTAAATTCTACTAGAGATTTATTTTTTAGAATTAGGTGTTTTCCAGTAAGATGAGTTTAATCCAAGCTGAAAAAACAATAGCATCTATCAATTTGTTGTAATGTTTGAAATTTAAATTGTAAAAAAAGATCATATTATTTTTCTTTTCTTTCTCTCCAAAAGTAGCAACACTTTTTATCTAGTTTTCAAATTAGAAAATTATTTTCGCAAAGTTATATTCATTTCTGTGTAGACTCTATGATTATTAATATACATAAAAGATATTTAGTTGAATTGTCTAATTATCTGCAGTACTTTTAAGTTATCCATCATATTTTCCAGCCGGAACGATACGCGGATGTTGCATTAGTACAGCTAGCGCAAGTGGTAATTCGTTCTGGAATTAATGATGAAAGTGATTTGAATGACGTTGTTGCTCTAGTAAACAAAGCTCTACAGATTGATTCAAATGAGGTGCATTTTGATAGTGAAATTATTTAAACAAATTCATCCGAGGTCGTAAAAGATTTTTATAATGTTGTGTGGGAGAACTGATATGCAAAATCATACTTGTGGATTTAGATAATGTTGATATTAGTGAAAATGTTGTAACTTAAATTGGATGAACTAAAAATTTTAAGCTATAAAAGTAAATTTAAGAACTATGCACAGATTCTTTAGTTCGGTGAGAACAAAAAGAACAAAGTTTTGGTTAGTTTACTTGAATAAGATAAAATATTTATAAATATTATCTTAAAGTTTATATAAATAGTTCTTCATCCTAATAAAGATTTCGGATTTTCACTTTTTAATTTTAAGAATTTTTAGCCCATTACTCTTTTTTTGATGGGCATTGTAAAAATTTTACAAAGGAAGCTTGTTTCTGGGCTGAAATATATTCGGGCAGCTGTTGTTGTTGATCCACTGTTTCAACCGGCTGTTTCTGTTTTTCATGCATTGAAATGCTTGAATAAGGTATGATATCAGTTTTATTCGCAATCAGGACTCTTTAATTTTTGGTGCTTTGCAGTTGCTATCCTTTTGGGTATTTTGTGCATCATTTTTTTCCAAAGGTTTAAAATGTTTTGGGTGATAGGTGGGAAAAAGTAGGAGTTTATTTTTGTAGAAGGTTACCGTTCGAAAATTTTGAAAATATTTTAGTCAAAAAATTTCAGGGGAAAATGAATAATTTTGTTGGTAGAGTTTAAATTATTAACTTAGGTACAGTAAATGTTCATTTTCAAAATTATGTTTAATTTATCTATTTATTGTAGAACGGACAAGGAATGATGGGTGGTGATCAGCTACACTTGCGTTGTTGTTCCCAAGATGAACCAAATGTTTATTGCTTTGGTGTTCATGAAGATCGGTGTTTCATTGCACTAAAGAAAAGAGTTTTTGTTGGGACAACTTGCATTTCGAATTCCAAAAAAAGAAAGGTTCTTTCATTAAAATAAATTAAGTTTTCGGCAGGAAATTTTTTTTACAGAAAAAGACCACAAATAAAATATTTTTGCTATTGGAAGGACGATAACTCATTTTTCTTATTTAATTTATTCGGATGCCCTGAATTTATGTATTTAGTTATTTACTCTCTAGTTTATTCATTTACGTGTGATATTATTTTAGGATTCTTGTACACGTGCATTCTCATTTGCACCATTTGTTGCACCTGTTGATTTAGTTGAAGGCACAGGTATTTGATTATTTTATATCTATTTCTTCAAGGATATCTTTATATTTTTGATTTTTGAGCTTGTTGACTTGGGATTTCTTTCTCTCTAGATTCCGAGGCGACAAACATAAATGTTAATTTTTTCATTTTTATGAAGATAAATCAGTGCATGCCAAAGAGGTTGCATGAGCGATTCACATTCTTGTCATGACTCTCACAGAAAATTCCATTTTATAGAAAGTACTCACAAAATTAAATTTTTTTTACTTTTCATGCTGGTGTGAAACTATTATAGAATGATGTCTTTCATTAAAGATTTACGTTCAAAAGTTTTTTTTTTCTGGCATTTTTTCAGAAGATGAAAAGAAAATGCATGAACCGGTGGTGAAGAGTACAAAAAATGTTCATAAAAAACCCAGCATAGATACATCAGATGAGGTAATCCTCCAAATTTTTTTGTTCGGTAGATGTCGTTAATGTTCTGAGAGAATTGTTTTTAGATATTTAGTTGAGACTTGCATGTTACTTTTCATGGTCTCCTCATTTGCAGCACTGTAAAAATTAAATTTTAATTGCTTTTATTAAGATTCGTAATTCCTTAATTTTTACCAAATTTTTTTTGCAAAGCAAATCATTGATTTTCGCTGTTTTTCCTCTTATTCATATATAGAAGACAAACCTTTTACTTAGGAACTATCTTTCAGATTCCTTTGGATTATGGAGCTCAAGAAACTTTACAAAGAATTAATAAAATGACTGTTCCTTCGACGAAAAATTTTTTTCAAAGCGAGGTTTGGTTTTATTTAAAATATTGCACTTAATTATATTTATTGTGCCATTTTCTAGCTCGAATAAAATTTTGTAATTTTACAAAAAAATGCGAAATACTTTAGTTTATTGAATACATTGTTTAGATTAGATTTGTGGAAAATGATATGCCAAAAGAAGAAGTAATGATTGAATCTTGGGAAGAAGATATCTTGGTAGATGAAATAACCGTCCCAGAGGTGATTGAAAGCTTATGAAGGATATTTTTGGAATTGTTCACATTTATTTGTGATTGTAAAGCTTTAAAAATCGTAAAGTTCCTTGATCTTGTATATATGCATTTTTTAATTATTTGTAAATATTATCCTTGTCTAACTTTATTCGTCTAGAAACCACTGACCTTAGCGCATGTACCAGAACGACGAAAAATGATATCCTACGACATTCCACTTCCTTCGGTATAAATATATTTTTAATGATTCGAAAGTTTCATTTCATTTTATATTGATTCAGGGATTTTTTTTTCAATAAATATAAAGATGTTGAACTATAACTTTAATTTAACGTTTTATTTGTAGATATTGCCGTTGCCATCTAAAAAACAAATAAATAACGGTTTCATTCATGTACCACTCCCAGTCAGTCGTACGTCAAACAGTGATTTTTGTGCGAACGCAAAAATGGTTAGTTTTTTACAGTAAAACAGAAAATGGTCACTGTTAAGATCCATATTTGGTTCTCAGTCATATCGATTTATGCGGTATAATAAGGTTTTGTACTATTTCTGATAGCTGAATGAAAATAAAATTGAATGCATTTGTTCATTTGTTGTAACTGATTTGGCATCATTTGTTCTCATGATTTTCGATATTTTTCATGATCTAAAAGTTATGATTTTTTCTATATACTTACATGCAAATGATAGTACTTAAATAATAATCTTAATTATAATTTAACCTATAAAGTCATCTTTTCTCCAATTTATAACCTATATTAGGTGTCAATTTTTAGAGTTTAACGATGCTTCGAGAGCAGAGCACGTCAACTTGGCTATCAGTTACCGCCAAAGGTGTAAACCTGGAGAAGTTCATTGATTTTCAAGCACCAGTTAATTTGAAAGGAGATTTTGAACCGATATGTTCAGACACGATTTCATCTTCACCAGTTTTAACACTTGACCATTTGCCAGCTTACCATCTACGACATCAGTTTATTCACTACAAACCGGAAAAGGCATTAACAGATGTGTGTTATGAAAACGAAAATTTAAAAGCTTTCATATTACTGATTGTCGCTCTCTGAAACTACAACAGATTTTTCATTAAGGAAGTGTCATACTTATATTGAAATTTACTTCTATTGAAATTAATTTTTCAACTTAATCATTTTTTATAAATCAGTAATACAGCTGTTCTGTATTCAGGCATTTTTAAAGTTGGGAAAAGAAAAAAAACGAGTGGAAGTAGTTGCCAAAAGATTAAAGGATGCAATGGTATTATCGCTTGCATATAGTAAGCTTTTGCTCAATAAAAGTCTTAAATTTTTTTTAAAAGTTGTAAAAATGATTAAAGTTTTTAAATTTATTGATTTATGTAATATATTTCAAAATATAATTAACATTGATGAAAATATGTATGCTTGGAACACTTTTTACTTGTTATTTTGTGCATAGCAACGTTTGTAGATAAGGACAAAGTACATTGGTCGTTATCGACTGCATCAGCGTTATATTGGCGAGTGAAAGGTGATGCTGTAAATGCAATAAAGTGTCTTAGACAATCACTGAATTCAGCTCCTCCTGAAATGAGGGTAAGTTTTTAGATTAAACTATGATACGAATAAAGACGTAAATTTGGAAAAACCTGGTTTTATTGTTTTGAATATGGATTTACCAAGAAATTTCTTAAATCATGACGAAAATAATGCAAGATTGTTAAAATTCAGGTATAGACGTTGATATTCAGAAGGATTTTAATGATTTTAAATGATGAATTTTAGTATTTTTTAAACTTTATATCTATTAAAAAATTTAAAAATCCGTTTTTAATCAAGAACAATTTATTTTCTAGGATGTCGCACTAATTAGTATGGCTAATATATACCAGCAGGCAGGGTTGTTGCATAGCGCGTTAATTGTTGGTGGTTCTGCACTAACCATTTCTCCTAAACTCGTTGCTATACACTTCACTCTAGCAAATATTTACGCTTCCCTGGTATTTAAGTAATTTAAAAGCATTACTGTTAGTTCTCGGAAATCGCTGCAGATTTCGTAATCAATTTACGTAGCGATAATTGGTTTGAAAAAAAATGATGCATCGACGATACATTTAATTCACTTTTAGTTTTTTTTGCAATGTTTTGAATAATAATTTTTTGAATGCATTGTTATTACAGGGAAAATATCAACATGCATTAATGCTTTATTATTCAACTTTATCGATGCAATCTAATTTTGAACCAGCGAAAGAACGCATTCGTGCGATTTATTGTTTCACTGGAGAACAACTTATAGATTCGTAAATGTGTGCTGATGCTGTGTGAAATTTATTTTTTCAAACTTCTGTGCAACGATAGTTCTGTAAGTAGCGTTCTCTTGTATTATCAGGATTTCTGTTTTGTTTTTTAAAATATATATTTTATTGACTGTGATTCGTGTTAAAGCTTATCTTTCAGAAGCAGTAATGTTAAACAGATTATTTTTAATTCTTTTCTTTCAGGTTCAGTGTGTTAGAATTACATGAATTCTTTAGCTTTGTTTTTTTTAGTTTCTGTCTTAATAAAAATGTTCTCTTGCTTGATTTTTCGAAATTTAATATTTTGCATATTTTAGCTGAAGTTAATGTAATTTATAGTGAGCTAAAGAATTCATGTAATAAACTACAGGTTTCGGGTTTTATTTTGCTCCAGTTTTATTGATAAACAATTTATTTGTGTTCTGTATATTTATAATGATTTACTGGCTTTTCACTTATTTTACAAAAATATTTTCATTCAAAATGTTAACCTCATTAGCATAATCTGTTCAGTATTTATTTCATTATTTATTGTTTTTCAAATTCATCGTTTCTCCGTAATTTGATATACTTTTTTGAATTTGGTTGCAGTCTGTTTAATGCTATATTTTATAATTATAAATCATGATGCAGTTTCTATAGATTCCATTGCACGTTATACATTTAATTCAATTATAAAGTTACAGCGTTAAAATTTTTTCTCACAATACCTCAAATTTGATTTTTATTAAGCCTCAGGGCGGTGTGAAATGATGTAGTTAAAAACATCAAACTTTCTGCAGTATCGGTCTGCGTGTTCAGTAACTATATGCTCTTTCTAGTATAATTGTTATAGGAAACAGACATGCTAGTTTGTTTAAGTATTGTTTTCAGCTTGAATCTGCTGGCATTGTAGGGTTTCGCTTATTAGATTCTTGTTCGTAATCTGATGCACAGCGAAGAAGTTTGTAGTGGTTACTGTAAAGAAGATATCCTTTCTCAAAGCAGGTCAAATTCTGTACATTTCATTTTTCAAAGCATTCCTGATCTATTATTTAATCTTGAAATGAGAGTAGTAGGATATGTGTATCGCTGGCGTATAAAATTGGTATATACATAAAATAAGTTAATCAATTTGTCTACAATTTCAAGGTAAAAGTCAGATATCGGAAGAGATACTGAATGATTTCGAGCAATTAATAGTATCACCGTACACTTAGTTGCAGTAGCTGAAGATTTTCACCTTTTTTTGGCTATGTAGGTTTTTGCAAAAGTTTGTTCTTTTAGCATCACTGTAAACTGAAGGAAAAAGAAGAATTAATATATACTTTGAGTTTAGTAAATATTTGTGCTTCTCATATCATTAGTTAGACAAATAGTTATATATTAGGAAATATGCTGAAAACAAGACTTTAAGTTTAGAAAAAATTTTTGAATCTTTGTAAATTAAACTAGTTGGATAGGATTATTACATTAAAATTTTTGTTTATGCAAATTTACTCCCTAGCAAAAAAATAATTTATTGTTTAATTTCTCATTGTACTTATTTTTCTATATAAATACAGTGTGCTCGGACTTTTGTATCTTTGAGTTACGAATATAAAAACAAACGGTTAATAGTAGAGATAGAATATACATACAAATTAAAAGTATGTATTATTTAAGTGATCTAGGAGCTTGCATATCTTGCTCTCTCTTGAATCGAAATAAGCTTAATTAGTTAAAAGTAAATCTATTCAGACGTTGACATAAATAAGTTGAGATAAGCATTTAGAGTATCCAATTTTTTATTAGATATTTTGTGTTAAATACAGTACAGTGAATTTAGTTGATCTAAATGATACAATAATTAGCTATTCTCGAGTCAAGCATATATTGAGCAGATATTATCACCTAGTAACAAATTTATTGCTTCTTAATATCGTTTTTACAACAATTCGTTGAATTCATTGCAAGTGGTTTCCAATATATTGGTATTCATATGGATAAAGCGAATAAAACTGAAAAGTTAGTATGAAAATTAATAAGACTTCAACCAAAAAATTTATGCCTGTTCATACTTTCAGTCTTTTTTAATGTCTCGAAGTTTTTTCTGAATTTTGATACTAAAGAACTGTGGTGCTTGTTTGATAAATATTATTAGACATATGAATCTAATAATTTAAAATCATAAATTTCTCCTATACTTACCATTCTATACCGAGAGCGTAATATCGCTGCCCAAAGTTGTATTTGTTGCCTAAATAAATGCCACCGAAATGTCTGAAACAAATTAAAAACTTAATTTTATAATATCATAGAAATATTACTAATATCATAATACAAGCATTTGCTCCTGTTATTTTAGAACTTCGTGTTGAATATTGGAAAACGTGAACTAATTTCGACTCTTATTTTTATTATTTTATTGAAGATTATAGTACATTACAAGTTTAGTGTAATTCAAAAATTTTTTAAAGACGAAAATAAAAAGTAAAATCACTTCACTAAGCTCTTAATTGTATGTATATAAAGTATTCTACGGAAAGGATACATTTATTTTACAAAAAAATTATTCTATTTTAATAATTAATAAAAAGTATTAGCTTAATAAGCTAAGAAATCTGTCTTAGTTATTTTATTACCAAATTGTTTATCGTATGCATTTAAACAATTGCATTTTCATAAAATATTTTTGTCAGATTTTCATGGCTTTCATTTTCACTCTTGAAAGTACTGAAAATTTTTAGAATATAAACCCAAGAATGAAAATAATACTCCAGCGGACTTCTCTAAATTACTGTACTATTTATGTGGTAAAGTTTTGTATTTCAATTTGCAAAAAAATTTTTTGTTTTTTGTCAAAGAAAATGAATAAATGTAGGTTTATAACATACTGAAAGTATAAAAAGTCAAAAGGGCTAAATACAGAATTTAATTTGGCATACAGTAAAATTATTACTAATCAACTCGTTTATAAATTTCTTTTTCCTATAAATTACAGCAAATGTTCATGCTGGAAAAAGAACTAGTCAAGGAAATAAATTCTTATTTAATTACTTTGCAGTAACCCTTTTGTCCATAGTCGGAATTACAGTGCAATATTAACTTGAAAAATTAAACTGATAATTATCGGTTTGGTAATTACTACGTTGCATTAGACTATAAATGTATTGAATGAGGGCTAATTTTAAAAGAACTAAAATATGTATGAAAATTATTTTCACGCATTTTTTACGTGTTTTTTTTTGCATTTTTACAAAATACTAACTAAATAACTAAGGATTTTAAAGATAGAAAATCAACAAAAATAATAATATAACAAATAACTATTCTTAATAACCGCAACAGACCTTCATTTTCAAGCATTTCATCATCGAATTCGTAGAATGGAATCTGAAATTGAATGAAGAAAATGGGATTCATAATGTAACTGATGCATATGATCCTACAGGAATGATAGATTTAATGAATTATCATTTTCATTTCCGTTTACAATAACGGATAAAAAAATAATTTTATTTAGCAAGAAATTTTTTTTGTTTAATTTTATTTAATTCAAATATTGTTGCACAAACAATTGTCATCATTACGATATATGAATAATATTTCAGATAAGGGAAGAAATTAAATATACCAATGCTACGTAATACATTAATATAAAAAGATAATTCTGAAAATGAATGAAGACAAGTGTTAATTAAATTTATTATACTAAATTACCATATGAAATGTAATTATCCAGGTATGATCTGTTCTGCTAAGGATTTGAAATCAAGGAACAACTTTAACATAATTAGGAATAGTCTTAAAAGTAATACAAATCATCAATTAATTAATGTTCTGTTCTATTCCAGTAGTCAAATTAACAGTTTTTATAAGTACTAATTTGATTTATCTAATTTGGAGATTATTTACAGATAAGTTGAAAGAAAACAAATAAATTGACGCGTATTTTGCTGCTTGTATTTAATCACTGCAAAAGAACTGTAAAAATTAAGGTTATATGGACAAGTTTAAATAAGACAGCACATCTTGCGCGGCTTTGTGTAGAGTATTTTTGCATAATAATTTGCTGGTATTAAGAAGTCCGCTGAAGACATCAAAAGAAAGGTACTATATTATAAATATTACACCATTTATGACAAAATTAAGCAAATAAGAAATTAGAAAATCATGCAAATTAAAAAAGTAAGGTTAATCAATACTGAGAGTGAAAGTACCGCTATGTTGGCATTAATGTTTGTAGGAACATTTGATGGTAGCAATGAAACTCCAGCATTATTACGGAATGAACCAACGCCACCGATATTGCCTTGGAATGAATTTGACCTAACACCAGTAGGTAAATTTCCTAAAGTGGCTGGTACAGAATTTATTACCGGGACTGGCTGCACACCTTGAGATGGTGGAACTAAATTGTGAGGAACAGGAGCAGATATAATGGTAGCAGGTCTGGCACCTAACGGAGCATTCATAATACCAACTGCTGGCACTCCATTTGAAATGCTGTTGAGCTGATTTGACCCTACTTGAAGACCATTGAAACTGTTCACTGCTACACTATCAGAATATCGTACTGTTAAAAAGATTCTGAAACATGACTGATAATACATTTTTTTAGTAATTACAATTTGGATTTCTTTTATCTATTTCAATCATTATTATGCTAGCAGGTTAGTCAACTTGATAAATTTGTAACTGGCATTCATTAAATTAATAAAAACACCACTATAATTACAATATTAACTTTATTCATTTGTTCTTAAACTTTAATTACTTGTTATTTGTACTTCGATTCCTTACCTTTTTATGTGGTACTATCTTAGCAGTGCCATCTGAATATTAATCATTATAATTCATTACTCAGTTCAAAATTTTTAAAACAATTTTTGGCTTGTATACTACTAGTTATTATAATCAAACTATTATTCGATAAAGGAAATTTGCGCCACAAAATGTTTCATAAAAATAGCACAATTTATAAAACATTTTTCTGTAAACTAGCTGCAAATTATAAATTCTTCAAAAAATACGAAAAACTTTTCTCTGAAGTTTTTAATAGTGAATAATGATTGTTATTTTATGAAAATCTTGAAAACTATTAAATTAGATTAATGAAAATAATTTTTAAATGAAGTTAAAACAATGCTTTTGCAGATATTCAAAAAAAAAAAATTAAAAACAAACGATTATGCTATTTGATTGATTGAAAAGGAAATGATATAATAATAATTATTATTATATAATAATGTTAATAATGCAAGTATTAGTCGAAATAGGCGCAGTGCGACTAATTATTAAAAAATTGAACGAAATACATTATTAAATCCAAGTGCGCAATCAAATGCATTGTTTGATCTCATGCTATATTTCTATCATTATGCATATTTATAATTTTAAACGAAGCAAACGCTACTCAAAAATAGTCGAAGTTAAAGTTTTATTGATCGGTAAGGGAAATTATTGTATAAAGTAATCATAATAAAACAATAAAAATTTACAAAAGTAATTACAATTTTCCTAATGTCAACTTTACGTAAAAGTAATCATGTAAATAAAATAAGAATATAGATTAAGTCTAATTTATTAAAGATAATTTTGAATAAAATTTATTGAAATTAATTATCGAAGCACATAAGGACAATTTTAATTATGCAAATATGAATAATTATTTAAAAAAGTGAATGCAAATAAACTTACGACAATAATATTGAATATTCCATCGTAAACAATCACACTTCCAGCAAGTAATAAGAAAGTAGTACAGGACAAATGTATGCAAGTAATTATTACACTACCAAAAATATCAGTTCAATTTAGATTCATCAGAATTGATCATAATTACAGTCGGAATAAAGTTGATAACTATCGTTGTTATTGCTATTATTATTATTATT